CAACCGTGGAGCTCCTTTCCGGCCTTCCTACCTGTGACGCTGTTCTGGTGCTCTCTCGGAGAGCAAGCGAGGTCTTGCTCTGGGACTCCGTGGAACAGGAAGCATTGGAAGAGGTTTCATCTAGAGAAACTAGAAAGGAAGGATCCTAGCATCAGAATGCAGCCCTCTGTCTGGGTGGTTCGGGGGCTCCTAGGGCGACCCACATAATGCTGTTGTCAACCCTGAAGCTGAGGGACGGGGGGAGGGAAATAGAGATAGTTGGGACTTTGTAGCCAAAACAAAGTATTTTCTCTTGGGAACCAAGGACATTCTCACCCCTGGTCGGGGGAAGGAGGAGTGGTGTCACCAGGCAACCAGAGTGAGCCGTGATTGGACCATGGGACTGATTGTTTTGAGAAAGTGGGAAAACTTTAATTTTCAATTAGGTGAAAACTGTGGGGAACCTCCAGAGTCAGTTTTCGCCAGATGTGTGCCAATGTGATATATCCAATAAAGCTATTCTTTGAGGAATCTGCCTGTCTCAGAGCTTTTGCTTGCTATGGGTCTATAACTTGGAACCCTGACAACTGTTTTCGTGAGCTCCGCCGATGGCCTATTTGCTTCAGGGTCCAATCCGAAGTGCTGGTTATCACTTTTAAAAAGTCCTGGGACCAGGCTATCTGAGGAGCCGTCTCACCCTGATGGTGGAGGAGGGCCTGTCCGTCAAGGAGAAGAGCCTTTTCTGCTGTGGCTCCTGCCCCCCCCTCCCCAGGTGAGATTCCCCCTTCTGGAAGAGCCGGAGGAGCTGGCTCTGCCAACTGGCCTGGACCCCCAAAATGGGGAAGCATCATTCTAAAGGCAGCTAATGAACTAAGACCCCACTCCCTGCCCCCAATGCCTCTTCCTCCCTTCCTCCCCATCTCTGTCCATTTTCAATTAACTTAATGATGGCGCTGTAGTTAAGAGTACAGCACTGCAGCTGACTCTGCCCACCGCCTGGAGTTCGATCCTGACCGGGATCAAGGTTGACTCAGCCTTCTGAGGACCCAGATTGTTGGGGGCGAGATGCAAATAACACTTCTACATTGTAAATTGCCCAGAGAGGGCTATAAATAGCGATAGCAATAGCACTTAGACTTATATCCTGCTTCCTAGTGCTTTCCAGCCCTCTCTAAGCGGTTTACAAAGTCAGCCTCTTGCCCCCAACAATCTGGGTCCTCATTCTACCCACCTAAGAAGGAGGGAAGGCTGAGTCAACCTTGAGCCTGGTGGGATTTGAACTGCCAAATTGCAGGCAGCCGTCAGGCAGCAGAAGTAGCTTGCAGGACTGCACTCTAACCACTGCGCCGCCGAGGCTCTTAAGTACTGTGGGGCAGTATAGAAGTCTTAAGTGCTACTGCTATTTATTGTTTTAATGTTTTTAATTACTGTAAGCCACCTAGAATTATCCCCAAGAAAGGTGGGTGGCATATGAGTTGAATGATAAAATTAAATTAAAATATATAAAATAAAAATTAATTAAATTACATTCAAATTAATAAAATATAAATTAAAATTAAAATGAATAAAAATTAAAAACAAAATAAAAATTAATAAAATTACATTCAAATTAATAAAATTAAAATAAATTAAAATTAAAATTAAATTAAAAATTAAAAACAAACCAAATGAAAATTAAACAAAATAAAAATTAAATAAAAACAAAAAACATTAAAATTAAAATTAAATTAAAATAGCTACGGAGAAAGCAGCCGGAGGAGGAGGAGGCGGGCTCGGAGGAGGCGCACACTTACCATCGTTGTCTCCGCTCACAGTGCTGGCAGCTTCATTGGAACCGCTGCTCTCTGCATCATCCAACTCTTCCCCTTCAGGGCCAGCGAGGGTCCGAGACCACTGGGCAGCCGCTTTCTGGAAGGACCAATCAGAGCTTGGAGAAATTGGGTCTGGGGAGCCAGAGGGCAGGACCCTATGGCTATAGGTGACCTTAAGGGCCTTCCATTCCCCACTATCCAGCTACTACCGGGTAGCCAGTGCATTTCACTTTGAGCCAGTTGCAGGGGGTTAGCCAACATAAATAAAACATGATTGTGGAGTCCTCGGTGCTCTCTGGTTGTTTGTTTGTAGACTTTTCATTACCCAACTAGGCAACAGCGCTCGGTGAATGTGGGGTTTGCTTCCCGTTTATACAAGCATGGTGACTTGTCCTGCCAGTGGGGGTGGGGTAGGGTTTTCTCCTTGATAATTTCTTGATTAGGGTATTGTTTTCTGGTTGTTTGTTTGTCTGGTGTGAATCCCCGCTTATCTGGGTCTTGGCTGCCGAGTTCTAGTCTTATTTTGTTTGCTTCTCAGCTTTTTGTGGTCTTTTTTGAATGGTGTGTAAATATGGATTATCACTATGTATTTATTGATAGCTGATTGTCTCGAATGCCAAAACTTTCAAGGATTCCCTAGCATTTTAGGATTTGGCTTAGTCTAGGATGCTCAGTTTTTCCGAGTTAGAACTACGGTTGACTCTGTCCGTGTGTTGTGAGATTCAGGAGTTTCATTTATTCTTCTGTTAGCTTATGTTCATGGCTACGCTCTTCTACTCTTCTGCCTGCTTGTCCTACAGGGTGGTAGTTCTAGTCCTTATCCTGCATGTTGTACAGTCATACGCTCTATGTACAGTCCTTATTCTCCAGGATCCAATCTGGATCAGTCACCGGGATCAGCGGTTTAGTCTTCCAAGCTTTTGGACTCATGCTGAAGAATGAGTCCTTTATACTGTAACAGCCACCATGTCAGACAGAAGGCAGGCAAGGCAAGGGAGCTGTCATAAGTGCAGCATGACATAATATTCCTGTTTAAGGTCAAATTTACTGATCTGCACCCAAAACTGGCTAATGACAAGTTCTAGATCCGAGACCTCATCACCTGTCAGGTGCTAAATTCATACAAAATTCATCAGTCGGTTACGCCTTCTACCCAGTCTCTGGATTAAAGAAACAGAGACCTGGCCTTACCTTGAGAGTAAATAGGCTGATCCGCCCAGGAAGTTTATAAAAAAGCCCATCACAGCTTCTTGAATTGGAGTGAAGCATTGCATTCAGGCAGGCCAGTGGGGATGTGCCACTGCAGGGGGAAGACAGGCAAAATTCAATCAGTCAGTCAAGATATAGGTTGCTTTGGAACAACTGTGGCAAATTCTGATAACCCAACAT